TAGACACGACTTTTAAAAAGTAGCAACAGTAATTCGACTTGAATTGGTACTCGAATTTGCTGGAACTCGGCTGATGATACGTTACTGTAATTTGCTCGTTGCGAGCATCGCATTAGGAGCAGCGCATTGGGCACAGTGAGGCCGCATTAGGAGCAGCGCATTGGGCACAGTGAAGCCGCAATAGGCGCAGCGCATTGGGCACATGCGAGATCGTATTAGGAGCAGCGCATTGGGCACAGTGAAGCCGCATTACTGCATTAGGCGCAGCGCATTGGGCACAATGCGAGATCGCATTAGGAGCAGCGCATTGGGCACAATGCGTGGTGGCATTAGGAGCAGCGCATTGCGCACAGTGATGCCGCATTAAGAGCAGCGCATTGAGCACAGTGAAGACGTATTAGGAGCAGCGCATTGGACACAATACGTGGTCGCATTAAGAGCAGCGCATTAGGCACAGTGAGGCCGTATTAGCAGCAGCGCATTACGCACAGTCAGGATTTAGCATTATTTATGGAATCTATAAAGTCGAACTCGACTTTTAAATAGAATTCGACTTGACTTGGCAATCGAATTTGCTGGGACTCGGACCGGTGATATGTAGCCCCAATTTTATGCGGTATTCCATACATCCCATTCAACAAGGCTTTGAATAAGAAGTTACTAATACATCTGCTATGCATTTTAGAAAAAAGTTATGAGTGTTCCCATAAATATGTGCGATTAATTCACATGATGATATCAACTTTCCTCCATCCTGAATTGAATGCAATTATATCGTTCTTAACCTCGATCTTTATGCAAAATAAAAACAACAGCAGTGGAAAATGATATTATGTTTAATTATACCACACACATAACATAAAGGAAAGAGATTTGAACTGTCATTTATTAATATTTTTTTCTAATCACTTATAGTCATAACATATTTTAATTATTTGCTTATATCTTTGAAGTTTATGCTCAGATGTCTCAGCTCTGGAAGGAGTTTCTTCTGATGATATTTTAATTGTTTGACCATACGGCGGGTTCTTTTTGAAATTTAGGTCCATGTTCACTTCCACCTTCATGCATCAAAACCCCAGCTGCGTGAACCATTTCGTGTATTATTATTCCCAACCTTTTCTCCCTAGATTTGATAAAAACGAGTGAGAAGTCTTTATATATCGAAACTTATTTATCCGTTTCCTCTGGCTCATTTTTTGACGACTTCATGAAAATGTTTCGTAAAGCTTCGAAATGTATCCCTGTGGATTCGCAGTCGTCGCAAGTCCATTTCGAATCTTCTTCGTGGTTTACTTCAGGAGGTTCTCTTAGACATTTTCTGTGAAACTAAGTTCCGCATGCCACGCATTTATGCATTTTTCACCGTCGTCAGGCATACGGCGCGCGTATTAATTGGAATTTATACTACAGTATAGGAAGACGTGCACTTGTGATATTTACTGTCCGAGTCCAATTCACCTTGGTTGGCTTTTATATTGGGTGCATTGCTGTTTTATTCTTTATATTTAATCTTAGTCTTATTTCGGTGGGTGTGCAAAGCGTGTTATATTGATAAAATATATATTTTTAAACATAAAAAATAATGTAATTGAAACTGATTAGCTATTTTGGGGATTAGACATTGTAGATACTGAGAATTACATTCGATTTTGGAATGTTTAGTTTCCAGGACTGGTGCATATAGTAAAGTTGCAAAATTGCGTATGTCCCCAAGTCATTGACACATTTCTGACTAAGTCACAGTGCGTTAATTAACTGCGTCATACAAATTAACTCAAATCCGGCAACAATCAAAAAATTGAACCATGACAAATTATTGACTCTCAATGGCATAACAATATCATTAGGAAGTTTTTTATGTTTTTCTCAAAACTGCTAAATATGACTTACGCAATTCGGTTATTAGCGTGACGATATTTAAAAAAAAAAACGATTGGAAATGTTTATTGATAAATGGAAACTGGAAAAGAGCAATTTTGGAAAAAGTTTTATAGTTACTCATAGCCATTTAGGCATAAACAATCAAAATTGTATAAGGCTTTGGGTACTCGTGAAGTATGTGCACCAAGATGTCGCACAACCTGAACCCTAACCTTGTGTACAACCTGAGTTCAGGTTGTGCGCCATCTTGGTGCGCATACTTCAGGTCGTCCAGGCTTTGTTTAATAAAAGTTCTATAGATTGCCTTTACCCCATTGAAACAACTCGAACAATTTAAGCCACATGTTTTGTGTTTCTGGCTATATTTTATCGTGTACATCACCCACACATGAATATGCATTTAATGCTACATACCGTCAATATGATGATAAATATCATTATGACAAATACAGGAAAATCACAAAAACAACATATAAAATGATTTGATTTTAAAATAAACATTGCCGCAATCAGAAAATGGTTTGTTTTTAATTTTCTATAAGATTTGCGCTTGACCTATTCAGTTTAAAAAAGTATTCAGACATAAACTGGTACTTCCATGAACAGTTTACCAGTTACATTTCCTTAATAATTTACATTGAATAATCAAAATCTAATAAATACTGCCTCACTTCTGAAAATATACTCTGAAGTTCACAAATATGTTAAATCTTGTAACGCATTATCGCTTTTATATTTCTCTATTTTAATGTTGTTTCCACGATTTAAATTAATTTTGAACTCAATCTATATCTTCAATGATTATTCTGAACTGAATTATATGTGATTCAGAATCATGGGGCAAATTTAAGTCAGATGTGTTTTTCTAACGTTTCGTTGGATCATAGCAAGAATTCTTTGAACAAACATACTTATGATAAAAAAGCAACCGCAAGTAAACATGTACAGTGAGAATCGCGCCTGGTATGTTGAAGAATCAATGAAACTTTTGAATGCATCATTAACAGTGGGGAACTTGGATGATAAAGCTGATTGAAAAGTATTCAGCGGATTTATATTGAGTAATTTATGTCAATAAGTATGGCATTATCTCTTTTCACGAAATAACAGGTATATTTGTAAGCTTTCGTTAGATCATAGTCTAACTCCTTTAGACAAACAAGCTATAACTGCAGATATGAATGTTTTCTGATCCTCATGTCCAAAATAGTTTGCAGTCGTCTATAAGTCTTCGGTATGTCTTAATAATCATTATATTCTCATCGAAGTTATCTGGCACAATAAGACAAATATATTTTCCTATTGTTTCGTCTGACCAATTTCAGACATACATGATTCCACTGTAACAACAAAAGGCAAAGCTGTTAAATTACAGTAACGTGTCACCAATCTAGTTCTATCAAATTCGAGTACCAAGTCAAGTCGAATCACTGTTGCTACTATCTAAAAGTCGAGTCTGGCCTGTCCTTATAGATTCCTTAAACAATGATAAAATGGATGGATGAATTGTCAATCCTGACTGTGCACAATGCGCTGCTCCTAATGCGACCTCGCATTGTGTCCAATGCGCTGCTTTAATGCGATCTCGCATTGTGCCCAATGCGCTGCGCCTAATGCGGCTTCACTGTGCCCAATGCGCTGCTCCTAATGTGATCTCGCATTGTGCCCAATGCGCTGCGCCTAATGCGGCTTCACTGTGCCCAATGCGCTGCTCCTAATGCGGCCTCACTGTGCGTAATGCGCTGCTCCTAATGCGCTGCGCGCAATGAGACTTTTAGGCTACCAACCCCTCTCCAAGTTTTAAGTAGAAACATATTGTAAGTATATTACATACTGACAGACTGAAGCGGCACCCTGTATTGTATATATTGAATGGTAAAATAATGCTGCCCGCTTGATATTTATTTTACTTTCTACAGTTCTATAGGAACTTTACTTTCTATTTGTGTGCCTCACTAAATGAACTGATGGCTCTACATCATCATCAGTCCGTTGCCAAGGGCTTAAAATCTGACAAATCATGGGGCTTTTGTACTTAGTAAAATTGTTGGCTTTTTCTGGCTTTTTTATGTCTTGATTTGGCTTTTTTTGATCGCTGGGGTCTGGCAACCCTGTTATTCACTCGAGATGGTATAGGATTTACATATTCATCCCGGGAGAGAAGATAAAGCGGCTAGTCACATGGCGTATAGTTGGATGACGACCTTATTGAATGAAATTGATTGCGCTCGCAAATCAAAAATGAAAGCATGAATCGCATAGAACAGCAAGAGGCTCCTGATGCCAAATTCTTATAGACGATGCATAGACTATGTTAATTCAGTAATTCTCTTCAAACTTGGCACAAATGTAGGTTTACCAGAACTGGCAAAAGTCATAATTCTCTGCCTGTGACAAAAAGTTATCACAACCAATTTGGAAAAAAGTTTAGCCTACATGATATGCCATATTCAGACACAGACAAACGGTAACCGTACTTAAAGTTTAAAAAGACATAAAACCAAGCATGGACATGTCATCGCAACTTAGTTTCAAACATAGATTGTCAGGATGGCCATAGGCCTATAGCCATCTATTGAAAACTCTGCTTTCCGGTACTTTGAGGACTTGAAGTGATATCACATTATTTGATGTTAAGTTGAAAATATAGTGCCCATCTGTGACTTCATCATCCAATACAAAAAGATTTTAAGAAGCGATGGCCTTTTTGATGTTGAGTGGAATATTTCATTGTGTGAAAATGCCAACCTTCACAGGGTTTGAATGATTTTATGTCACTCACTCACTGTTGTTTGCAGTTCACTCTGGAAATTGATTCTTGTGATATCATACTCCATAGCTGCCTAGATTTCAACAATTAAAACAGAGGGCCACAATCCAAAAAATCAAGATGGTTGGGAGTGCGTTCACACTTAAATCTAGCGACGATAACAATAAAACATACAAGTGCATGAAAAGATTGGTAAACTGTTGGATAGGATTTACATATTTTAACTACAACTTTGAATGCATCTAATCTATTTGCCCTAAATATTGAAAGATAGTGTATGTATGTATGTTTTGTTATCCAGTTTGCTGGTTCAAGTGTTGTAATTTGTTCTAATCAATGTTGGATTTTTCAAACTTGGCGGTACATTATACTGGTATTAGTTAGCTTATATTTTGTGTATATGTTGGAGATTGTATGAAGATGTTTTATTCTCAAATTGTACGAAGCATGTCAACAACAGTCAGAATGCCCCAGATCAAGAAGCTGGTTGTGATTGGGGGTGGTCAGATGGGTGCAGGGATAGCCCAAATTTCTGCAGCAACCGGACATAATGTCATAATATGTGATGTAAGTAATGCTTTCGATTATTTATGGCTCCTATTTAATACCCAACTCAAATAAAATAAAACTGTAAAGGGAAATCAAATTAACTTCTTGAATTGCTTTATCATCTGATGAGTATTAGGATTTATATACTGATGGCTATATTTAAAATTTGTTCATAACAATTGTATCGATTTTTATTCAAATATTATTTCTAGGTTAATGATGATGAACTCAAGAAATCAAAAGCAACAATAGAAAAAAGTCTTCAACGAGTTGTCATGAAGAAATATGCTGATGATGCAGAGAAAGGAAAGGCTTTTATTTCAGAAACAATGTCAAGAATACAAACTTCTACAGACACAAAATCTTCTGTGAAAGATGTTGACCTTGTCCTGGAAGCCATTGTAGAAAATTTAGAAATTAAACGGGTAAATCACAGATATTATCATTTTAATTGTTACAAATTTTTCCCCTAGTCAAGAATCACTAGCAAATTTATCACACTTTTTTTCCATTGGCTGGTGAAGGCTATGTTCTTGTAGGTTATCGTAGGTGAAATTCTGCTTACAGTTTTCCATTCTTTTTTGCAACTCATATTACAAGCTAAAGTTGATTGTTCTCTTGATTCAGGATCTCTTTAAAGATTTGGACGCTGTCGCACCTCAACACACAATATTTGCGTCAAACACATCATCACTGCCTATAAGGGAGATAGCTTCAAGCACCAGTAGACAGGTATGGCATCGCATGGGTCCTATATTTTTGATTGTGTGAGATGGGGAAAATTACGTCTTCCTGAAGTCTAAATTCCGGACCCTCCGTTCTAAATACAGTGTTAGAATTCAATAAGTGGGGAGTCAAATTGATCTACCGTAAATAATAACTAATTAATATTTAAACTGAACAATAATTTCATTTCAATGTTTGATTATATGATTTATTTTAGTGAAAATATGTTTAGGATCGTTTCGGTGGTGTTCACTTCTTCAATCCTGTGCCTATGATGAAGCTTGTTGAAGTAATAAAAGCACCAAACACTAGTCAGGAAACTTTTGATTCACTATATGCCTGGGGACAAGCGGTGAGCATTATTAGTTCATTTTTTTAAAATAAAGTTTTAGACATAAATACCTATTTAAAGGTCAATTTATCATATTTGATAATCAATCTTGTATAGGCTGTTTTTATGTTTTTGTTTACATGCATGACAAGCTAGCATGCTTTAGTTACTTTAACAAATTGTGAACATTTTGAATAATATTCTCTCTGGGCTTGGGTTTATGGTGGTGTGAAATTGTTTTGTAAAATATGATAATGATCATGCAGAAGAATTTAAGTTGTGATTGTGACTGTGTGTAATTGTCTAATGCTTTACATGCGTATTGTCTACTTGAATGAAAGATCCACTTTATGTTCAACCTCTCGCCACAAGATGGTTGTTCTCGATTTAATGTAACTTGTGACCCATTTAGTTTATGGAGATATTTCATGATCAGCGCAATTAACATTTCTAAATAATTACAGCTTGGAAAGACTGTCGTATCATGCAAAGACACACCAGGATTTTAGTAAACAGATTGCTTGTTCCTTATCTACTTGAAGCAGTGAGGCTATATGAAAGGGGAGATGGTTCTATGGAAGACATTGATACAGCTATGAAATTGGGTGCTGGATACCCAATGGGACCTTTTCAACTTCTAGATTATGTAGGACTAGATACCTCAAAATTTATTATAGCAGGCTGGCATGAAGGAGATCCCAACAACCCACTTTTTAATCCCAGTCCCCTTCTTGATCGATTGGTGGCTGAAGGTAAACTGGGAGTAAAAACAGGAGAAGGCTTTTACAAATATGGTAAAAGTGAACTTGATTTTTCTTAAAATGTTACTGACCATATGTGGTATGCTGATATTCTCAGGTACAACATCGTGTTATCGATAAAAATTTCAAGCTACAAATTTAAGATTATTATTTAAAGTGCTGATTTTTTAATTATAATATCCATCACAATCAGATTGAAATAATACAAATTCTGCTTTTGTGTGCCCCTGCATCATTTTTGGAATATCTGGCAGCCAGGGATGGCCAATTCGAATAAAGTATTCGAATATCTCGTCATTCGAATATCGGAATTCACGTTCATAAGAATATAGGATATTTGTGTGGCGTCACACATTTTCGACGCCGCTTTCAAGACGTTTCCGTTGAATGAAAACATTCTCGATAGAAACTTGCGCGTGATTGTTTTTATCACTCATCAGCGTAACGTGTTATTTAGGCCCGTTAACGCCTTTACGATTGTGTTATTTTCTCTAAAACGAAAATTTTTCACAAATTTGTTCCACGCTAACGATAACATTTATTTTTGTACGCGCACGGAATTGTGAATCTGGTAAATACGTTCAATGGCGGCGAGTTTCTAAAGACAACGCAACTTTTTGATTGAAAAGCGGCAATTTAAAATACTGAAAATAAAACCGTAAACAGCATAAGTTTTATTGAGGCCCGCGAAAATTTAAAATGCGCTTTTCTAGGCAGTGAAAATCGCAAAATTTCGTTATAATTCACATTATGTTTGGTCGGCGTTTAGAAACATATCGTCACTAATTGAGGGCGGGATTTGCCTGATTATCCATTACTTTAAATTGCCGTCGAATATTTTCGGGTTAACACGATACCAGGTTTGTATATAAGTTTACCTCGCGTTTTTATTTTTATGGCCGCGGATTGCAATGGTATATAAGAGTGGTGAGGATTTTATTTTGTCGACGCAACCGCAGGTTAAATTGAAGACAATTAAATTAATAAGAGCAAGACATTTTAAATATGCATGTGTTGGTCACGAATTCATCACTTTGCACAACAGAAATATATATATTCGTTGCTATATTATTTGTTGTAAAAGTCGACTCTTTTAACAGGTGGCAAAATCGCGGCGATGAATATGTATTTTTAATGTACTACTAAACTTTATATGTATATTCATTGTATGAAATGAATTATTCTCTACACTTAACAGGATTTTATATAATTATTTGAGATTTTTCTAACGGCGATAACGAGTTGGCAAGATTGCAAAAATACATATTAAAATTAAATACATCGAGCAGTTTATCTCGTAATTTTAGGTCACAGATTGCCGTGGACCGAATAGTAATGTTTTTTTTTTGACATAAGAAGAAGCAACCGCGAGTTATGTTGGACACATTAAATTAATATATAAAGATATTTTAGAATTTCGTAGTTGTAATGGATTGAATATTTTACGTAACAGAATGATCATTATACGCTGACAAGACGGCTCTTTTAACGAGCGCGGTGGGTGTTACAGGCGGCACGGAGAATTTCCGATTTCGAAACTGGCTGCGCGCTGGCAGTGGTGGTCATCTATTCTCTACTAATTTATTTCTAACTCCAAACACAACAATATGTTACACATAATAACAATATGGTTCACATAAATTTATATACATATATACTGTGGTAGGTAGTAGAATACTCTAGGCTTAAATATTAGAATTTTTAAAGGCATAATGGATTTTCGATTGTTGTTGCCTGTATTGCAAATAAATTTTATTACTTTCAGAAAATATACACAATTATCTGAATGCAAGTAGTATTTTTGTCAATAGACTCGACTATTATCGTAATATCATGGTACAAATGATATAAAGCGTCAGACAACTCCTTGGCTATCTTTTCATATGGTCATTTGTACAAAGTGAATAATTTTAATAAACTGACTGTTTCACAAGTTGCTATTATTTTTTATTAATAGCTATAAACTATCAATTACTTTGTGTACATATACTGTTGGTCTGTGGCTTCATTCTGATATTTCTATTGAAGCTTATTTCCTAATTTACTGGGTTTTAATCAACTAAAACAAAAATGTGTTATTATTAGAATGTATTCGGAATTCCAGATTCGAAAACATTATTTTAGAATGTATTCGGAATAGTTCAGTATTCGGAAATGGCCATCCCTGCTGGCAGCCCAGGTTCACACAGGAATTGTGAACAGTTAATTGGTTCGAATGCATGGAGTAAGAGCCACGGCGCGGCAGGTAATATCTATCCTCTATGAGTCTACGGCAATCAGGGAAAAAGGGGGTAATATTGAATTGGTTGATTCAGAAGCGTTTCCGCACGCGGCATGTAATTTTTAAATAACAAAATTTAAAAAAGAACTATCTGAATACTTAAGTCCCCCTTTTCGCGAAATTAACTTAGGTTGGGTCTAATTAACGCAGACATGTAGTTTTAAAATAACATAATTTAAACAAAATCACTATCTGAGAACATGAGATCCCACTTTCCACACAATTTGACCGCATATGAACGTTTTATATCTACGTTTTTAGGCTTTCTATCAATCACTCCCCCATACGAGATAAATGTGATTGCGCGCTTGTATACTTTCTCGATAATTCGACAGTGAAGTAAGTCTGTGGATAGTCTTTTAAAGATATCAGTGACTGCTTGTACTTGGTCTGTTCGGAGCGAGTAGGCGTCGTATTGGAAAGATAGCCTCGGACACCCCCGCTTGTTGGTAACGCATGGCACGAATAACATGCAGTTTTGCAATGCTTCTAAATCTTAACACATTTACGTGCGCAGATAATTTGCATAGGTTTACAACATCTAGCTAGATCAAACTTGAAGCAGTACTTCTTCTACCAATGGAGAGTTTGGATAGTCCCAGTTTACAATCGTATTACCCATAGACTTGGCTTGTCGAGTAATCCTCTGATCCAAAATAATAACAGTAGGGCCTGGAATAGAAAGGTTCATCTCTTTCAAACGAGTAAAATATCTGTCAAATATTTTAAACCTAGTACAAATTCATCATCGTGAAACCGCTTTGAGTATTTTACAACAACGGTCTGTCCGTGAACTAGGTTTTTTGTATCAAGTTTTTTCTGTATTTATCATCGAGATACCCTTGCAACGCTGTGAAACTACGCCAAAATGTTGCGTTCTGGCAGCTGCACACGCTGCCGGAATAATAATTTCAAAAATGTGAAAAAAATTCTTTCTTCGACTTTCACTTTCATCGCGTACATTTATCGCCAACTTTGTGCCCACACCAAAGTCATAAGATTTTATCGTTTTGAGAAAGGAATGAAACATGGCTCACGAGCCTACTAGAATTCAAAAGCAATTGGATCGAGGGCAGCCTTCGACAAAACATGTGAGATGTTCCATGTCATACGCGTTTATTGTAAAACGGTTGACTGTAAATAAAATGAAATAATCAATAAACAGTCACAAGATGAGGGCGGAAAGAAATGCATAACCAGAAGTTAATAGAAAATAAACTTACATATGATAACGCTCCAAAGGCCTAAATCGACAAGAAACTGACAGGAAACGTGAACGATAACGTTATTGGCATAAAAATAGCATCTTAATTTAGAAAGCAGTTAATGAGAATGAAATATAAAATACATGAACAATTAAAGCAATAAATGACGACGATGGTCAAGCAGTTAATAAGAATGAAATATAAAATACATGAACAATTAAAGCAATAAATGACGACGATGGTCAAGCAGTTAATAAGAATGAAATATAAAATACATGGACAATTAAAGCAATAAATGACGACGATGGTCATATGGGGCCCCGGTTACGATACCCTCACCACAGTTCTACCTAACGAGACCAAATGCCACCCACACGCTAAGTCAGTAAAGCGGATAATGCGAAACCACACCACTGACACCATAACAAGATTAAACGAGCACGTCCTACGACGCGTAAAGTCGAGATGCAAGAGCCACGCGTGCCACGTCAGATGCAGTAATATCGGACTGTTTATAATATCGCGCGCGGCTAATAAAGAACTTTGCAGCTCTAATTTGGGAACGGACATAGTTTTGATCGGAGAAACAATTGATTTGGCCATCGACAAACTATAATTCACATACTGACATTTCTTGGCACGCAAGTGAGCCACTGCGACGTAAGCTTGTTCAGACGCATTGCAAATCTCATAAATAGCGGTTTTCGAGGCGCCTAAATATTGTCTAGGCACATGGAAATTAGTCAATTGTTTTAATGATTCGGTCCACTCTTTCTGGGCATTTCCCCTGAGGTTATATAAGTTTTTGTCCCATTTCAAATCATCTTTCCAGCACTCCCGAATAAGGAGTTTCGCAGTTAAAATAATAGGGGCTAAAATGTCGAAGGGATCAAAAACTGATGCGACCACGCTTAGCGCTTCACTTTTTGTCACAGGTTTTGTCAACGAATTGTAAACAATGTAGAAATTGTCGTCATTAGTGTTCCAATGAAGTCCCAGCACCTTAGAAATGGGCACATAATCAAAATCTGATTCAACGTCAGGATTACGACAATCCCCTGTGTTAAATTTCGATAATAATGTTTTGAAATTTGAAAGCCATTTTTCCAATCGAAAACCCCTGCTTGCTAATATATTAGAAACTTCTTGAGCGTCGGAAAAAGCGGAGTCACCATTACATTCTGATGAAAGCAAATTGTCTACGTAGCAATCCCTAAAAACAGTTTCTACTGCTCCCATTGAAAATTGCCCGGTGTTATCAAGCGCGGTTTTTGCAACGTATAGCGAGTCGACTACGCCAAATATTCTCACTAGAAATTGATACACATCAGGCGGGGTTGTCGATCTCAGATTTCCTTGCAAGAAAGATCTGACTGAATCCGTGTCCGACTGTGGAGACGCACCATGTGATACATGGCTTCAATATCAGCATTCAATGCAATCAATCTTGTTCCGAAGCGCAATAAAACTCCAATCAGATTCTTAATGAGATCAGGTCCCGAATATATCTGATTATTCAAACCGATATGTATCCGCGGCGTTAAAAACTATTCGTATCTTGCCAGGTTTATTTGGATTCTCAACTCCATGATGAGGAAGATACCAAGTTCGAGGACCCAAAGTATCACGTTCTTTAACAGTCAGTTTTTGCACCCAATCACGTTTGATGTTTTTCCTCATAGAGGTGTACATACATGTCTCTCAGACCGTCATTTTCCAACAGTCGTTTTTTCGGATTCCTACA